GCTCTGTTATGTCTATGAAGAACTTGCCAGGATTGTGCACAGCCGCGATGACCTTCTGGCAGGGCTTGGCCGAGTCGCTGGCGAAGACGTTCGTGAACGGCACGCCCATGCGCCGCATTGCAACTGAAGTTGGGTCCAAGTCTGTAGAATCACTGCCAAGCTTGACTACTTTGCCGATGCAGCTATAGATGCGGCCCATGGGGAAGAGGGGAGGTCGGGCCATGATTGGCGAGGAGGAATGGGAGAAGGAGGCGCTAGCTCTGATGTTTGTGCTGCGGATTCGAGCGAGCGAGCGAGCGGCTGCGGATTCGAGCGAGCGAGCGAGCGGCTGCGAGCCTCGCCGCTGCCAGCCATCCAAGACCCCCCCCCCACCCACCCACCTTCTGAGCGCGATTGCTGAGAGGGAACGCTAATTCTACAGTGCTTCTCGAGGAACGCTAACTCTACAGCGCTTCCCGGGGAACTCTAACCCGACAGTGCTTCTCGGGGGCCGCTAACTCTACAGTGCCTCCCCCGCCATTTGCCCGACATAGTGGGGTTGTGAATTCTCAATGCTACATTGCTTCTGACAGTTTCACTGCCTCCTCGTCTTTGCCCACCCCCCACCCCCCTGTGCCCCTTGCCTCGCCTCTTGGCCCGCTGCCATTTCACGCCCATGTATGCCATGCCGTTTAATTGCGCACGTGGGCTGCGAGAAGCCAGTTCGAGGACGTCCCCGAGCTGCGAGAGGCCACTTCGAGGGCGCCCCCGAGCTGCGAGAGGCATGTTCGAGGACGTCCCCGAGCTGCGAGAGGCCACTTCGAGGACGCCCCCGAGCTGCGCGATGACCTCTCGCAGCTCGGGGGCGCCCTCGAACTGGCTCTCGCAGCTCGGGGGCGCCCTCGAAATGGCCTCTCGCAGCTCGGGGGGCGCCCTCGAACTGGCCTCTCGCAGCTCGGGGGCGCCCTCGAACTGGCATCTCGCAGCTCGGGGGCGCCCTCGAAATGGCCTCTCGCAGCTCGGGGCGTCCTTGAAAACGCCCCCGAGCTGCGAGAAGTCTAACATACCTCTCCTCGACGTGGCCTCTCGCAGCTCGGGGGCGTCCCCGATCTGCGAGAGGCGACCCCGGGGTGTGACAGACCTCTCCTCGAAGGGCCCCTCGCAGCTCGGGGGCGCCCCCGAGCTGCGAGACGCCACTTCGAGGACGCCCCCGAGCTGCGAGAGGCCAATTCGAGGCCGCCCCCGAGCGCGAGAGGCCACTTCGAGGACGTCCCCGAGCTGCGAGAGGCCAATTCGAGGACGCCCCCGAGCTGCGAGAGGCCCTCGAAGTGACCTCTCGCAGCTCGGGGACGTCCTCGAAGTGGCCTCTCGCAGCTCGGGGACGTCTTCGAATTGGCCTCTCGCAGCTCGGGGACGTCCTCGAAGTGGCGTCTCGCAGCTCGGGGACGTCCTCGAAACGGCCTCTCGCCCCCGTCGGCTCCCCGGGAGCCCAGTCGAATCATGCTTGCATGGCTCGGGGTGGTCCTCGGGGGCCGCCCGACGTCTCAAGGTCGCCTCCAGAGCTGCGAGAGGAGAGGACTAACATATTTTTCCACTCGCAGCTCAAGGACGTCCTTGAGCTGCGAGTAGTAGGCTTAGTCTTCTCACTTTAGAGAGGTCTGTGAGACATCATGCTCACAGACCTCTCCAGAGTGAGAGGACTAACCCTACCACTCGCAGCTCGAGGTCGTCCTTGAGCTGCGAGTGGAGGGGTCTATTAGTCCTCTCCTCTCGCAGCTCTGGAAGCGACACTGGATGTCGAACCCCAGCCATGAATGCGATGCGTATTTGAATCCCTCGGGAGGTCGGCAAACTTTTAAGTCCCCAAGAGGCCCCATGAGGCCCCCAAGAGGCCCCCAGGAAGCCCCTGGAGCCACGAACGCGGCTTCAAAACTGCCCCCAAGAGGCCTCGAAAGCCCTCCGAAGAGACCCCTCAATCCAGGCACGGTGGCGGAATGGGCCGAAGGCCACTAGATCCGCCGCCCCCTGCTTGCAGGGGTGCACGGCGTGCTGGATGATTCAGTTTTGGTTTTGGTTCTTTTTCTGAAAGAATCGAAGACGCCCACGGCGAATCACCGCCGCCCCCTGCCTTTTTGGAAGCGCCTATGTGGCCGAACGTTGAGGCCAGACCTGCCAAGCTATCGGACCACGTGTTCCCCGAATCGGTTTGGAAAGCCTTCGGGGAACACGTGGGCATCTTGAAGGTCATCTTGGCCGTCTTGGAGGCCTCTTGGGCAAGCTTTGGGCGATATTTGGGGCTTTTTGGGCCGTCTCGGGCCAGCTTCGAGCCAACTTCGGCCATCTTGGTGGGTTCCTGGCACGTCTGAAGCCGTCGGAAGCCGTTTGGGGGGCCTCTATGGGCCGACTTGGGGCCCGCTTGGAATGCTCCAGGGCCGTCTTGGAGGCCATCTTGGGCGTCTGGGAGGCCATCTTGGGCGTGTTGGAGGCCTCTTGGGCCCTCTTGGGGCCCTCTAGGGGCCATCTTGGAGGCCACTTGGGCCATCATGGGGCTCTCTTGGGGGCCTCTTGGGCGATCTTGGGGGCTTCTTGGGCCGTCTTGAGCCGTCGGAGAGCCGAAAAGGCGCAAATGCCAAAATCCTTCAAAAACCAAGGAAAATCAATGATTTTGGCCTCTTCGGACTCTCCTGGAGGACCTCTTGGAGGCCTCTTGGGCCGTCTGGGAGGCCTCTGGGGGGCCTCTTGGGCCGTCTTGGGCCGTCTTGGACTCTCTTGGGCCGTTTTGGAGGCCGTCTTGGACCATCTCGGGCGGACTTGGAGGCCATCTTGGGCCATCTTCGCGATTTTTTGAGGATGTCCCGAGCGAAACGGCCGTTTTTGGGCATTGACAGACGCATTTTGGGAAATGCGCGGGTGGCCGGCGGGACGGGCCGAAGCCCACTGGGGAGTTCTTTTAGAAAAAGAACCGAAACCCAAGCAACTCCCATGCGTCCAGGCCTGCCCACCCCCAAGACCAAACGGCCGGCCCAAGAGAGTCCAAGACGGCCCAAGACGGCCCAAGAGGCCCCCCAGAGGCCTCCCAGACGGCCCAAGAGGCCTCCAAGAGGTCCTCCAGGAGAGTCCGAAGAGGCCAAAATCATTGATTTTCCTTGGTTTTTGAAGGATTTTGGCATTTGCGCCTTTTCGGCTCTCCGACGGCTCAAGACGGCCCAAGAAGCCCCCAAGATCGCCCAAGAGGCCCCCAAGAGAGCCCCATGATGGCCCAAGTGGCCTCCAAGATGGCCCCTAGAGGGCCCCAAGAGGGCCCAAGAGGCCTCCAACACGCCCAAGATGGCCTCCCAAGACGCCCAAGATGGCCTCCAAGACGGCCCTGGAGCATTCCAAGCGGGCCCCAAGTCGGCCCATAGAGGCCCCCCAAACGGCTTCCGACGGCTTCAGACGTGCCAGGAACCCACCAAGATGGCCGAAGTTGGCTCGAAGCTGGCCCGAGACGGCCCAAAAAGCCCCAAAGATCGCCCAAAGCTTGCCCAAGAGGCCTCCAAGACGGCCAAGATGACCTTCAAGATGCCCACGTGTTCCCCGAAGACTTTCCAAACCGATTCGGGGAACACGTGGTCCGATAGCTTGGCAGGTCTGGCCTCAACGTTCGGCCACATAGGCGCTTCCAAAAAAGCAGGGGGCGGCGGTGATTCGCCGTAGGCGTCTTCGATCCGCCGCCCCCTGTGGTCTTGCCGCAGGGGTGCCCGGCGTGCTGGACGATTCAGGTTTTGGTTTCGGTTCTTTTTCTAAAAGAACTCCCCAGTGGGCTTCGGCCCGTCCCGCCGGCCACCCGTAAGTTTCCGAAAATCCATCTGTCAATGCCTTTGTTGCCCCAACTTGGCCCAATATGGCCTCCAAGACGGCCAAGATGGCCCAAGATGGCCTCCAAGATGCCTCCAAGACGGCCAAGATGGCCTCCAAGACGGGTAAGATGGCTCCAAGATGCCTCCAAGACGGCCCAAGATGCCCTCCAAGACGGCCAAGATGGCCCCAAGATGCCTCCAAGATGGCCCAAGAGGCCTCCAAGACGTTCTCCAGGAGAGCCCGAAGAGGCCAAAATCATTGGTTGTCCTTCAAGGGGTTTGCGTTTTCTTCTTTTCGGCCTTCCGACGGCCCAAGAGGCCCCCAAGATCGCCCAAGAGGCCTCCAAGAAGGCCCTATGACGGCCCCAGGGCCCCCCAAGACGGCCCCAAGAGCGCCCCAAGACGGCCCAAGAGGCCTCCAAGACGCCCAACATGGCCTCCAAGACGGCCCTGAAGCGCCCCAAGAGGGCCCCAAGACGGCCCAGAGAGGCCCCCAAGACGGCTCCAGACGGCGTCAGACGGACCAGGAACGCCCTAAGACGGCCAAAGAGACCCCCAGGAAGCCCCCAAAGGCCCCCAAGAGGCCCAAGGAGGCCCCCAAGATGCCTCCAAGAGGCCTCGAAGAGGCCCCCAAGAAGCCCCCAACAGACCCCAAGGGTGCCCCAAGAGACTCCTAACAACCCTCATCCTCCTACTCTATTTCTTCCTCTTCCTCTTCCTGTTCATAGTCATTATCTCCCATGTGTTCCCCGAAAGTTTTCCAAGCCGACTCGGGGAACTCATGGTCCGATAGCTTGGCCAAGCTCTAATCCAACTTTCGGCCACATCGGCGTCTCCAAAAAGGCAGGGGGCGGCGGTGATTCGCCGTAGGCGTCTTCGATAATAACGACAACGCATGCCATTACGCACATCGTTGTTTTGGTTTTCACTCACAGCATCTGGGCGACTTCTCCCCAGACGTAGAGGCCGAATCAGCCAAGCGATCGCAGATCACCATGTTGGCGAAATGCATCCTACGAAAAACAATAAGGTGATGGATCCTCAATCGTCGGTCCTCCTTCTAATCACCTTACCCCTTCCACCGTCCACCTCATTCAACCACGCTGCACACCGTGGTCCTCATGACCTATCGCAGCACGAAAAACACAGCTACAGCCGAACCAGCTGGCAACGCATGCCGCATCATGCAAAGGGATCCCAGGCGTTCTCAGGATCGGGATCACCAACAAGACCATCATCCTCAGGCTCACGACGGTCGTTCTCAGGCTCACCATCCCCGCCAGTGCCTGGCTCAGCCGTGGGGCGCTTGGGGTTCGGCGGTGGCACTGGGGGCGGCCTCTCGGTGAGCCCTGCCGCCTTCGCGCACTGGGCGTTGTAGAGCTTGGGGCCCGTCTGGCACATCTCGGTCTTCATCTGCTCGACGAGCCTCGCGTAGATCATAGTCTTGTGCTCCTCGGTGGAAGCGATGCCGACGTACCCCACGCGGTTGAGCACCGCCTGCCAAGCGAATTTGGCGTCCAGCGGCGTCAAGTCCACGATGGCCTTCAAGAAAAACATGTGGATGAGCTCGTCGTACCACGCGGGGGGGCATTCCGTGGTGCGTGACTGGCGCTTGCGTGGAGTCCGTCTTGCGCTCGACCACGTCGCCCGGGCTCGCGCCTTTCGTCTTGCCGCCGACGGCGATGAGGTTCTTCTTGCCGTAGACCAACTCATGGTCCACTCCCTTTCGGCCTGGGTCGCCTCGACGCCCCTGATTGCGTCGCCCGATGTGCTTCCAGGAAAATGCGTCCGTGACCTCTCTGGCAGGGCGACTTTCGCATGCGAGAGCATGTGAGCGCACTCGGACTGGTGAAAGCCACCTGTGCAGCTGCGCAACTTCCCGCGGCGGTTGGCGACGCTGGCCTCGGAGAAAACGATGTCGATGACAGGGGAGGTGATGGTCAGGACCTCAAATCCGTCCTCGTCGTCGGGGTCGTCCTCCTTATCCTCTTCGCCCTCATCATCATCGCCCTGCTTCTTCTTGTCCTTCGAAGTCCCCTCGCGCCACGGGGCAATTCAGTTTATTGGAGTTGCCGCTCCTGCCGCCGTCTAGCAGGATAGCCACTTCATCAGATCGTAGACCAGGGGCACCGCCAGCCGGGGCACGCGCGTTCAGCACGGCCCTGACCAGCCTGTGGTAGTTCGCGTCGCGCAGGGGGGCGACCCGCAGCTCCAGGCGAGTTATGGGCTCGCCGCTCTGCTTGGCGCCGAAGTGAAACAGCGCGCGACCAGTCGGATCGCCCCTGATGCCCGCCAGAGTGGAATCGCGAATTGCGTTTTCCAGCTCAGCGGCCGTTTTCTTCTCGACGATGATGTCCACGTGCGTGTGGACATGCTTCTTGATGATATTCTCGCAAGACTCCTGGTCCTGCTGCTCCATGCTGTGAAAGCCCTTCGACTCTGGAGTCTCGGTTGTACCAGTTGTCGGAGCTGGCGTAGCTGGGCCCACTGCAGGGGTCTCTCCTCTCGCCGCCGCTGCAGCGGATCGCTCTTGGGCCAGAGTCGCGGCGATCTCGTCGATCTCGCGCTTGACGCTCTCGTACTCCAAGATGTCAGCAACATTTTCCTTCGACTTTACAGCGTCCCTGTAGCGGCCGTCATAGGAGCAAGTGTAGATACACTCTTCCGGAAAGGTGCATGCCGCCACCGAAGATGGGGGCAATCCGACCATCCACGTAGCGTCCACCGTGGGCTCGTCGGGGTAGCTGGTCACAGACGCGCGCACGTTCGGAAAATCGGCGAACGCCTCCTGCATCTTTTTAACGTGCTCGATTGGCAGACCGATCCCTGGCAACCACGTCTGGAGCAACTCATCGCGCATGGCATGCTTCAGGTTGAGGACCTCGATGTAGCTCTGCCAGTAGTCCTTCATCCTGCCGATCGCGAACTCCCCCGCGGTGATAAGGAGTCCTGGGGGGGGGGGCTACTCACAGGCAGTATGACAGGCCAAGGCCAACCCAAGACACGCAACCAACCAAAATTAATACATCCTCTCCCCCGTAGCTCCGCTTTCCATTGGGCTGCCTCGGCCGTCAAGATCAAAATGCTGGTCTAACATGTTTACACCATGGCTTCAGCACCAAAACCTTATTCTGCTCAATCACCCCCCATCCCGGGCATGGAATTCGACCCCCAGCCCATGCGGCAGAGATCCGTGAGGCCGCAAATGGCCCAGGCAATGCGAGATGTCGTCTGCGCACGGTCGACCAAGGCCTGCAACGCATAAATCGATTTGCTCCATGGGCTCTTCTCCATCAGGTGCTCGTCGCACCACTCGAGCCACTGGCGCGCCGTCTCGTTGCTGAGGACCCCCCTGTGCACGGCGAGGGCGCTGTCGACGAAAGACGCGCTGACTCCCTCCGTCCCCCCGGCGTACTTCATCTTCTCATGGTAGCACTTCGCGACCTGAGCGCTGCCCAACTCCCTGCCCAGGTCCTTCTCTTTGGAAGCCTTGAAGCCAACGACGTCGTAGATCCACTGGCGGACGGACAATTGGGACACGATGCCCATCTCGATGGCTTCCTGTCGGAGGTTCCGGGCCCTCCAATACAGATCGCCCCCTGATGTCACCAGCTCGAACCTGAACGACGCCGTCAACAGCACGTGGCGCCATTTCCCTAACACGTCATCGCCAGCTTCTTGAACGATTGCATCCCTGATGCTGAAGATCACCGCGAAGGCGGGCTCCCGGGGCGACAAGCGCTGCAAGGCACCTTTCGCACCCATCACGCATTGCGTGGCTGAGTCCAACGCAATCACCGTCTCGAAGGGAATGTGCCTGGGCGGCTGCAGCGGCTCCAAGGCGAACCTCTGGAGCTCCTTGATCTGGCCTTTGTTGATGGGCACGCGGTGGTTGCACATCCACGCGAAGCTCTGCCACATAAACTTGAGGCCGCATTTGTAGACAAGGCCAGGCCCATCTCTGTTCAGCACAGCGTTCATGTCAGCCTGCTTGAATGGCGCCTGGGCGCCTCCATCCGACATGGTCTTCGGCTCCTGCTCTACGATGTCCTTGAACACCGGGTGCTCCGCGATCTTGCTTAACGCATCGTGGACCTCGTTGATCATGGTGCGAACCATGTTTTCGTTGCTAGATCGCTGTTCCATCTCGCCCGCGGCGGCCTCCGCCCCGGCGGCGCAGGCCTTATTCTGGATCCTCGGGCGCGTTCTCGGCTCGGGCTTCTCCTTCGTCGCCTGGCCGCGCTTGCCCATGGCGCCCCCCCTGGTGTCCACGGAGGTGGGGGTAGTGAATTGAATGCGGTTTTGCTGCGCCAGAAAATCAAACTGACCCGAATGGCTACGGGCGCGTCGTCTCGTGGAGTTGTTATATGACATCGGGATCTGAACATATGATTAGAACAACGATGTGCACCAGCTGCGTGGATGGATGGCGGACCCTCTGCAAGATGCGGCTCTCGCCTGGGGCTTCCTGACATTGGCAAAGACAAATGCCTGGACCTCAACCAGCGCCAGCTCACCCTGGAAGGACGGCCGAGGGAAGGGGGAAGCTCGCCAAAAACTTGTTCTACCGCAAGTTCATCGGGGGGTGCACTTGACAACCCCACCCTCCCTCGCGCGATCCTTGGCGTTGGGGCTTGAATATAGCACTCTCCAGGCTGCCCCAATGAACGCACGGGTACAACTTATGTTGAGTGCACAACTTTTTTACACTGGGCTACGCAGGCGACGGCCGCCAACAAGTGGTGGCACTCCCAAAGGCGCAAATGGCTGCACCGTCGCCCGCAAGCTCCCCGGGGCGTCCGAATCGGCCGAAGAGCCGTGCCGAAAAAGCCGTGGCAACTCACTGCTCACCCTCGAGCGCGAAGTCAACCATGGCCCTGTCGACGACCGGCGAGTACCACTTGCGGTGAATGACGCGCTCGTTGAGCCTGAGCGCTGGGAACGCCGCATCTCCCCCGTCGTTCCAGTGGATGTCGGCGGCCCTGAGGATGAGCTCGTCAATGTCCGTGAACCCGAACTCCTCGAGCGCCCTGCGTTTCAAGCGGCTCACGTTGACGAATAGGCGACCCTGCGTGGGCCCCTCGAGGTTCGGCAACATCACCCTCTTCCACTCGTCGTTGTACCTCACCCACGTCTCGATCTCGGGTATGTTGACGGCCGGGTGCTCAGGCTGAGTGTCGGAGCTGGCGTCGCCGTCGCCGCCGTCGCCGCCGTCGGTCTTGCGGACGTAGATCCACTGGATGAGGTTCACGAGTTCGTCGTCGCCAATGGGATCTCCAGCAGGGGATTGCCCGTAACACTTGTAGATCTTCAACTCAGACTCGGCGCCGAAGTATTCCGACATCTCCTTTGTGATCGTATTCTTGATCGTCGCACCCTGGGCAGTCGGGGGTCGACCCGCACCTTGAGTCCAGCGCGCGGGGGTCGACCCGCACTGCAGTCGTCACTGGCAGCCACGTGTTCAGCTCCATGAAGTAGGCCCAGAACCTGCCCTTCGCGGTTGTGATGGTTGACTGCTGCGTCTCGTCCCTGAGCGCGTTCTCGACTGCGTCGCGCTGGGTCGGGAGGTCGAAGAGGATGCACGTGTGGCTCGTCTTTGCCCTCCGTCGAATTGGTAGTAGTGGCCAGATGGCCCCGTGTCGGATCTCTCTCTCTCTCTCTCTCTCTCTCTCTCTCTCTCTCTCTCTCTCTCTCTCTCTATCTCTCTCTCTAGAGAGAGAGAGAGATCAAGCCGTTAATAAGTTATGAGCCAAAGTGGCAGTGGTTCCACTCACCCCATACCCCGCTGTCCACCCCGCGCCCGTCATTCACCCACATAGGCCCCTGCGAGGCGCCAACAGCCCCGATAATGATTCCCAAGACGGGCCGAGATGCGCCGAGACAGCCCAGGAGGATCCAAGACGGCCCATGACGCTCTCACCAGGATGGCCCACAATGGTCCAAGACGGCGCACACTTCCCCCTCCTCCTCCTCCTCCTCCGCATTCAATTGCCATAGTTGGGCTTAATCAGCGCAGCTTCGGCGCACCCTTGGCGCGCCCCATGGACTGGGGAACGGCGGCCCACAGAATGCGGAGGCGCCGAAGCTCGGCATCGACGTGGGCCAAGTGTTGAGCAATAAGGGTGTGCCGGCAGACGGTGTCGAGTTGGAATGCATGCCTTGTGCCACAAAAGGTGTACTTAACTATGTTGATTACACCTAGTGCTGGCACAAAGGCTTGCACTCGCAACCCCGAGGTGATGGCTGTTGGCAAACAATGTCAGACGGTGCCTACTCGTTCCTCGTGCTGTTCATGGCTAAATATGCAACCGACGCTGTTCACGTGATTTCTCGAACAAATATAAGGAAATTGACTCCTGGCACCAAGGCAATGAGATCGAGTGCTACGTCGTGAGGTTCCTCTGGCAGTGTGGCATCATGCACCTCGGCATGGAAGCTCACCAGATTTCCACTACGTCGAAGAAGAGCGGCTGGCGTGGCAAAGGGATTCCTGCAAAGCGGGCCGGGATCACGCACATGCTTGACAATGGTCCAGAGCGCCTGTATTCCGTGCTCTTGGACCAGACGGGCCAGAACGCATACAAAACGATCACATCCTACGATAATGGCTCGCCTGGCGCACTCTTCCAGTTCACCAAGCACGAAGAAACTGAACCGCCATGGTGGATGAATGCTCTCCCGGAGGAGGCCATGGCGGCCATGGCGACCCACCTGCGCAAGATCAGCAACTGGTTTGAGCTGGCCAAGTACTTCGATCTGCCGCACAGGTGCGAGCTTTGGGCGGCAATTCGGAAGGAGGGGCCACCTCGCAAACAACCTGAGCAGATGTCCGCACAAGAAGTGATCGACATGTGCAATGGGTCTAAACTTATGTTCTATCAGCCCGAGGACGAAAAGCCACAGACGGGTGACGCCCCGTACGATGCTCGTGGTGGTCAGTGCTCCGCGGAGCCGTATCAACAACATCATCCCGCCACGGACTACATGCACGACGAAGTGGAGGAGGCGGACACCTGGGTCAATAATAAGATTAATGATGCTGGCACGGCGTGGTATTATTATCCGCAGCAGCCTAACGACCATCAGCAATATGACAACATGTCGTGGCAGTCCGCGGGCGATCCAGAAGATGCCGACATGTGGCAGCCGCCCGCAGGTCAGCCCGCGGAGGAGTACGCCGACGAGATTCCACAGGAGGAGGGCGTTGGCATTGGCTCGCCAGACACAGGATCCCCACGGCCAACGCTCGGCGGCGGCGGCAGCCCACATACCAGCCTGCCAGGAAGCATGCCAGGCAGCGCCTGCCAGGCAGCCTACGAGGAGCAGATCAAACAGCTAAACGCGACGGCTGCAGCACTCCGCAACGACGCGATGCAAGCGGTGGACGCTGCAACCGTGGCTGCACAAGCCGCACAATGCGCGGCGCACAATGCGGCCACGGCGCAGCACGCCCAGCTCAGCATGCCTCAGCCGCATGTCTGCAGCGTGCCAGTGCCGCCGCAGCCACCACCAACCGCGCCTCCTGCTTGGGTCGAGTGGAAGCAGAGCAATCGACAAGCGCCAGCCTGGCTAGATAAGAAAGCGGCTCGTGCTGCACGCTACGCGGCAGGCGACAGGCCACCGCACGGAGCAACCGTGCCATCGCTGCCGATGTGCAAGTGGCGCGGTAAAAACCAACCCAGGCGCCATGGCATTTACGAGGCCTGTAGGTCCTGCTGCGACTACTACAGGCAGGAACTGGGAGCCGCGACCCAGTGGTGCTGGCAGCATGACGCGGCGTAGATTTTCCAATAAGTTTTTTGTGAACGGCTGCTTCGGCCGAACTGAATTCGCCATGCCTTGCCACAAGGGCCGGGCGCGCATCCCGGGAGGCGGCCGCTGGGCGCCATGGGCCCGCGGAGGCCTCGGCTGGCGCAAGGCGGCCGCTGTGATCATCGGTCCGCGGACGCCTCGGCTGGCCCAGCCTGGCACTGTGCAAAAGCGCCGTCCTCCTCCGCCCCCCCCATCCGAGTTCCCACCCCCCCTCCCCCTTCCCACACCTCCTCGTCCTCATCATCATCATCATTCGCCCAGCCGACCACCGTGACCCAGAACCAGAATTGAACCACCCATTAATATCTTCACTACCCACGGGAACGCGTCGGGCACTTATGTACTTTCAGCGACCCTCCGACGATCAGCTGTTTCGGCTCGATGGTTTCGGCACCTCTGCTTCGGCACTGCGCCGCTGAAGTCACGCACTCAGAGCTGATGCGGTCTATCGGGTCTGCCACTAGAACTTGCAAGCCTGAGGCTCCGAACCAGCTCATCTCCTGTGATGACATCTCCGCTGGTTGCAAATACTGGCAGGACATGGCTCCCTCCGCAGGGCCAGCGGCGCTACTTGGCAAGGCGACGCTTCACCTGAACCGCGCGCCGTCCATGCTGCGCAAGCATTCAGAGAAGCTTGAGCCGGCCAAGGAGTTGCTGGCCTACCAAGCCAATCAACTGGCGGATCACATGCTATTGCTGCAGGTCCACCAGAACGACCCGCACATTCTGGAGCGCGGGATCGCCATGAAGTGGCGCGCGCAGATCATCGCCCACCTCGACTCCCAGATCAGGGCGGCGCGCAAGTTCGTGGCGACCCTCATCACGATACAGAGCTTGGTCGCGGGCTTTTCGCCGCAGATCATGGGGCCGTTCCAATCGAGCAGCGACGTGCTCGGTCTGAGCTGAGGGGGATACGCGCCAGTCGGCCCATGCGAGTAAGCTTTAGGACCTGCTCTTCGGCTGCTTCGGCCACGACCGAATTGGCTCTTCGGCTGCTTCGGCTTTAGCGCGAAGTCAAACATCACCATGGTCATCGCCATTCCTCTGTCCTCTCCAATCCATTCCTCTCCAATTCCTTTCCAATCCATCCATTCCTCTTTCCTCTCCATCCATCCTTCCATTCCTCTTCTTCTCCAATCCATCCCTCCATGTCTCCCCTCTCCAACCCGCCCCCTCTCCAATCCATCCGCCACGGGCGCGCGCGGCGGCCAGTGGCCGCGCCCGCCCGGGGGGGGGGGGGGCTTGGCCGAGGCAGATTTGTTTTGCGCAAGTTTGTCGAGGATGTCTCAGGCGAAATGTTGGTTGTGCAGAGTTGGGGGGCGTCTGGAACGGGGCTTCGTGGGCGGCCAGAACTCGTGGGATGTCTCTGGCGAAGTGATTACGTAGGTCGCCCAGTGGGTATCTAACAAGGCCGAGGCAGCCATCATTGGCCCATCTGCCTGCAGCTCTCTAGATCGAGAAGCCGCAGCATCGAAGCGATGACGATGAGGGGGGAGGGATGGGGATGGATGGACGGGGGGGGCCTTCGGCCGCGGCTGCATCGGCCATCATGGAGGCCCAGGCTGCTTCGGCCGCGGCTGCTTCGGCCGCCGCATTCGTCAAGGCTCAGATCTGTTCAGGCCTCCTAGAAGGGGGCGCGCGCTCGGCACCCGGGGGCCCTGCTGAACCAGCCGCCATGGCGGCCCTGACGGAGGAGTTCGACCACGAGTGGATGGACTCCACCACCAACGCGCGGCGCCCCAGAGGAGGAGGGAGGGAGGGGGGAGGAGGGAGTGAGGGGATGATGAGAGGGCATTGGGGGAGAGCCCCCCAAACGACACCCGGGGCCATGGAGGGGGGAGGTACGGCTACAACGAGACCACCCGGACGTTCACCAAGGCGTGGCCCGCGGAGTACGACGACCTGTGGCAGGGCATGCCAGTGCCCCATTGTCGTCCTCGTCGGTCGTCCTCGTCGGTCGTCCTCGTCGGCCGATCGCCAGGTGCGTTGGAGGTGCCTGGCCATCGTGCCGCGCAGGTTCAAGCTGACGGGGTGGAAGGAGGCCATCATGGGAGGGGGGAGGGGGGCTGGAGGGCGGGAGGGAGGGGTGGTCCCTGGCGGAGGAACGTCGATCCTCCCCCGAGGCCCATCCCTCCCTCCCGCCCCCCCTCCACTCCCGAAAAATCTGGTGCTGGAACTACATCGCGGACTGCTCCTTCAATCCGTGGTGGAAGGGGACGTGGTGGAAGCAGGCACCGCCGCAGCTTGGCGCTGTTCCAGGAGGGGGCTCGTCGTCGGCGCGGGCACCGAGCGGCGGCTACAGCCCCTTCTGAGGGCCCGGGCGCATAGAGCGCGATCGGCTGCTTCGGCCGTTTTTTCCTACCAGGCGTAGGTCATCGCCCCCCGAGGTGGCCTGAAACACCTCCTCCCATGCAACTTAACCTACTCCCTCCCGTCCCTTGCCCCTCTCATCATAAATCAATACAAGTATTCGCGCTGGGGCAACCGTGGGGTGGGGGGGCTCACAAGTCACGTGCAAGATGTACATAAATTACACGGTGGCGGAATTAAGGCGGCTCCGCCCAGTGGTCATCTTGGCAATGATCCAGTGTAGTTTATGTTCTTTTCAGTGTGACAACATGTGCATGCAGCAGCGCTGATATCCATCTATACTATGCGCGCTTGCCGAATGGCAACCGCTCGTTGATTACCGTGGAGCCAGACTCCGCCAGGAGCGCCGCAGCGGCGCCCAGC